GTCTTTGATCTTTCAAGCTGTTTAATGCCACTCAGCGGGTGTTGCAGTGCTTCAGTCCAAAAGAAGTGAAATAAAAAGCGCCCATCCATTAAAAAAAAAAAAGTGTCTCTCACGGCTCCGGGGGGTGAACAAAGGCCTCCTGTAGCTAATCAATGTGTTTTTGTAAGAAAAATATCCATATTCAAAACTTAATAATCACTTTAATCTAGCTTGCGCCAACAGTTGTACACAGAAGCAGCTCCGGGAGCATGACGTATGAGGTCAGCGTTGCGCATGCGCCAGTGAGTCTCGTGAAAACCAACGTTTGTTTACAGGAGCAAAGGAAGCAAAGTTTCCTTACTTTAGCAAAGGAAAACCAGTCTCCTCTTGGCTTATATCGAAATCCTCCGACATTCTTCTTTACAAATCCTCGTTTTGTACTTCTAATTAGTGACCGTTGTTTTGTTTTGATCTCTTCGCTGCGCTTCCGCGTTCATCACTTCTGAGCGGTGCATGCTCAAAGCTGACCTCATACGTCATCCGCCCGAAACTGCTTCCGTTTACAACAGTGAGCGCAAGCTAGATTAAAGTTATTATTACGTTTTAAATATGGTTATTTTTCTTACAAAAACGCATCGATTCAATACAGGAGGCCTTTGTTCACCCCAGGAGCCGTGTCAGACACTTTTTTTATGGATGGGTGCTTTTTATTTCCCTTCTTTTGGACTGATGCATGCAACACCCGCTGAGTGCCGTTAAACCGCTTGGAAGATCAAAGACTATTTTTAATATAACTCCGACTGGATTCGTCTGAAAGAAGAAAGTCATATACACCTAGGATGCATTGAGGGCGAGTAATTTATGGCCTAATTTTCATTTTTGGGTGAACTAACCCTTTAATAAGCGTCAGATGCTGGATGTGTCTCATAAACACACACCAAAAGCACACATCGTGCAACCCTAACCAAGCACAACACTTCCAGAAGTAACAATCCCAATCATTCTCTCCATAGAGAAACCAATGTTTAGTGGTAACATGCAAACATTTCAGTAAAGGCCTACCATAAGCTCTGAAGTTAAATGATTAATTATGATTCTGCAGAAGCCATGAGTCATTCAAATTCATAATTAAACAAAGTCACTGTCACCATAGGAATTTCTGCTAATGAGTATGAGCAGTGACATCCCACTCGCATGAAGAATGATGCAACGGAATCAGTTTCTTTACACTATCGAACTCACACTGCCTGAATATTTTTTTTAAAGCTTAAATTATATAAAAATTTTATTAAACTTAATATATATATATATATATATATATATACTTACTGTTTAATCATTTAATAGTTTTATAGTGTTTTTTTATACATTACCGTTCAAAAATGTGGTCTGTAAGATTTATTAATGTTTTGAAAGAAGTCTTCTGCTCACCAAGCATTTACCCGACTAAAAATACAGTAAAAACTGTAATATTGTCAAATATTATTACAACTTAAAAATAACTGTTTTCTATATGAATATATTTTAAAATGTAATTTATTTCTGTGAATTTTCAGCATCATTACTCCAGTCTTCAATGTCACATGATCCTTCAGAAATCATTCTAATATTCTGATTTGCCGTTTAAGACAGAAATATTTATAACTATAATGAACGTTGAAAACAGTTTTGCTGCTTAATTTTTGTGGAAATCGTGATAATATTCTTTCAGGATTCCTTGATGAATATTTGATAAACATTTATTTGAAATAGAAACATTTTGTAAGATCAATTTAAAGCTTCCTTTCTAAATAAAAGTATTATTTCTTATTAAAAAAAACACCTTTTGAATGGTAGTGCACCTATGGAGAAAACGAATGGGAAAAATACTTCCAGAAGCAAAGCCGCTGAGAATGTGGTTAAATGTGAAAGAGTGAGAGTCAGATCTTTATACTGGAGTGAAATCCTCTCATGACTGCTCTTGAAGAACCACTAAAACACACCTTTACACAGTGAGAACTGGTTTCAGAAGCCCCAAAGATTCATTCAGAGATTTATTTAAAAGAAAGAAAAAAAAGCTTCATTTTTTTATGTAGCCTTTGCAAACAAAAGAAAATTGACTCCTGCTTTCTGTCCATTGCAACTGTTGCTTGTCAGATTGCATTAGATCTTCAGTAAAAGTCAAAACAGACTGTACAACATCATGTCAGATTGAATGATGCCAGATTGACAGCACCGATGGTCAGTTTTGCTCCATCAATCTATGACAAATTCCTCATTGACATGCACAAAGCCAAGAAAGCCCTTGAGGAAAAGGGGATTTTGTGGACTGTGAACTTCGATATGATCATAACATGATAGGAATGCTAAATAATAAGACTTCTGATTGTCTCCAACAGCATGCATATAACAACTGCAGAAGTCCTTCATTTTGTCCCAACATATTCCCCACACGGCTGGGCATAGACACTTATTCCCACATTCAGCAGTGGACAGGAGGATGATGATGGCCTGAAGCTACAGCAGCTGGAGACCACTGGGACGCTCTGTTTTGGGAGACACACAATGTGACCTTGGAGTCATCCGGACTGAATCCAGTGAATAACAGATAACCCAAGAGCACGAGTCCTTACTCAGCTGATGAGTAGGAGAAAAAGAGTTTGGAATGACAAAAAGTTTTAACCTCTCAAATCATCCACAGAAACAGACCTCATGGAGCATGTCGGTTAAATGAAAACACCATATTAACCAGAAAAGAGAAGTTTAACAAGACAAAAATACAAAAGTGTTCTGTGAAAAAAATACAAAAGTCTTGACTTTGACAAGCCAACACAATTAAACACACTACCGTTCAAATGTTTGTGATCACTACAGTTTTGAAATTAAAACTTTTATTCCACAAGGAGGATGCATTAAATTGATCAAAACTGACAGTAAATACATTTATAATGTTACAAAAGGTTTCTATCTCAAATAAATGCCTTTCTTTTGAACTTTCTAATCAAAGAATCTTGAAAACATAAATGTATCACGATTTCTACTAAAACTAAAGCAGCACAACTGTTTTTAACATTGATAATAATAAGAAACGTTTCTTGACCAGCAAATCAGCATATTACAATGATTGCTGAAGGATTTCTGTGATACTAGAGTAAAGAATGCATTTTAAAACATATTAAAACAGAAAATAGTCATTTTAAATTGTAATAATATTTCACAATTTTTTGGCTGTATTTTTGATCAACTAAATGCAGCCTTGGTGATACAAGAAACAGTTTGATTTTAGTATTAGTTCTATACTATTATATTATTTATTCATATTTTGAATTAGAATTTATTTTTATAATTTCAGTTTTCATTTTATATTCAACTTAGTTTGTCATTTTCTTCTCTTATTTTTTATTATTTTTTTATATTTCTATTTATCTGTCATTTATTTTCATTTCTGTTTTAGTCATTTTAGCAGTGTAACTTGAGCTTTATTTCAGTGACATTTCTAATATTTAATTTGTTTAAATGTAATTGTATTTTATTTTAGCTTTACTTCAATTAACAGAAACTATTTAAATAGATTTAGATTTAAAAATAACAACAGTGATGTGAATCGTATTTAATAAACACGCAAAAAATTGTTTTGCTGAAAAATCCAGCATTGCTGGTCACCAGCATAAGGTACGTTTTGCATGCTGGGACCAGCATGGGATGCTGGTTGCTGGTCACCAGCAAGGCCACAACAAAACTTGTGCATGTGTTACATACCACGTTTCTTTTAAAATTGGTTTGTGTTTGTAGTTAAAGACCAAGACAATTTTCCAAATTAATTTTAATAAATTATTTAATAAAGAAAAACACAAGTTGCTGGTTACGTTTACACAGTAAAATCCCCAGTGTTAAACAAACACTGCTCAGTTTTCACATGGTCCTGATCTATAGAGAGTAAAAGTAACACTGAAGCAGTGTTGTAGTTAGTGAAATAAAGCAGATTCACTCTACAAGTGATGACTGAGCATTATTGATGACACCTACTACTATAGATTTAGTTTTAGTTAAAAACAACAACAGTGATATGAATCTTATTTCATAAACACGCAAAAAATATTTTTTAATGATCCCAAACTTTTGAATAGTAGTGTACAGTATATAGTGTTGAAATGAATCGGGACATCAACTCTCCTAGTGTAAAGGTGTGTTTAATATAATGATTTCAAGAACAGTTGGGTGTTAATCCCATAGAACAGTTTAAACAACACACACACGTCAAACCATGCATCTTACATGAGAAACACTTGAGAACAGCTCTGGGTTTCGACATCACACACGTAGAAACCTTCTTACAAAGGCTATGAGGGACTGAGAGACACAAAACCAACATGGTCAATGGAAGAGGAAACTCGCTGTGCTTCTCCTTCAGACTTTCTCTCTCTTTGTTAACTTCAACAAGCCCACACCACTCCAAACTAAAGACAGCCACACAGAAACTGCAGTGGTGGTCCGTCAGAGGAGGTTTGAGGCTGAGGCTCTTGTATAATTTAGTCTATGTTGTGTTGAGCACCAGCAGGCCTGATGACGCATTACAGCGAGACTCAAAGTTTGTATTAATGTCAGATGAACACAAATGATTCTCTGATTCTCCTCTGACTCACCCATCCCTTTGGAGTGGTTGAAGTCTCCTTTGATGATCCTGCAGGATTTCCCATCACCGTTGCAGATGCCGCACCGGTCTTCTTTTGCAGAAGAACCGATGATGCCGTCACAGCCGATTTTCTGCAGGAGGTAGAGTAAGAAAACAAAAAGACTGATTTCATGAGTCGTGACTTTAAAAAAAATGTGAAAAAAAATTGATTGGTATGAATTAATTTGTACACGTGGACTGTAAAATGTCACTCCAAAACAATATGCTGTTTATTTGTCTGCATAACACAAAAATATAATCTTCACACAGCTCTAAAACAAAGCCAAACACTCCCAAATTACTCCCCGTTTTAGGGAGTATTGGCCTATATTTAGTAGATACTGTAAGTTCTATACACTACTTTATTTATTAATTAATAGGTCAAAATTGAGAGAAATATTTTGTAATTTTATAAATGTATTAGAATAATGATTACTTCAAATAAATGCTGTTCTTTTGAAATTTCTGTTCATCAAAGAATCCTGAAAAGAATGTATCATGATTTCTGAAGGATGTGACACTGAAGACTGGAGTAATGATGCTGAAAATTCAGCTTTGATCACAGGAATAAGTTACATTTTAAAATATATTCCAATAGAAAACAGTTATTTGAAATCGGAATAATATTTCACAATATTACGTTTTTTTACTGTATTTTTGATCAAATGAAAAATAAAATTTTCTGGTGAGCAGAAGAGACTAAAAAAAAAATCTTCCTGACCCCAGTAGTGTAAATGTTTTTTTTTTAAATCATATATATATATATACACACACACAAGTAATAAATAATCACAATATTTTCAATATTATGACTCCATATAATGAACAAATTAATAAATATGACAACACAATAAACATATTAAATGTACATGAGGCTCAGTAAAGCTTTTTGATTTATCATATTTAAGAAACTAAAAACATCTGGAATCAAAGATGCTCTAAAATATGGTGTCATTTTATGATAAAAAGATATGTTAAGATTCTTTAAAAAATCATCTCTAGGTTACGCATGTAACCATGGTTCCCCGGGAGAATGAGACGCTGCGTCGAAACGCTATGGGAACACCTTCAACGTGACCACGCTCTGAATCACGTGCGTAAACAGTCCAATGGATAGGCGAGACGTCACGGGCGCGGTGATGTAGAGACCAGGAATCTTAAAAGCATGTGCGGTGGATACATATATCTGGGAAATTAAGTAAGCGCTCACAGGGATGCCGGAAGTATGGCAATGAGACGCAGCGTCTCGTTCCCTCGGGGAACCATGGTTACATGTGTAACCTAGAGACGTTCCCCTTCAGGAACTCAAGCTGCGTCGAAACGCTATGGGAAAGAGTATGCCCACTCTGCCAGACTTACAAATCCCTGCCTAGTGTGGAAGAGCACAACTAAGGCAAGAGAACAGAAGTGCCGGGAGTGGCTTGGATATCGAGGTCGTAGAACCTGACGAAAGTCAACAGCGTAGACCAACCCGCAGCGTTGCAGATGTCCTGCATAGATACACCTGACAGAAAGGCCTTGGAGGCCGCCACACCCCGAGTCGAGTGAGCCTTGACCCCCAGGGGCGAGGGGAGATCAGAGGACTCAAGGCTAGGCAGATGGCATCCACGATCCACTGGCTGAGGGTCTGTTTAGATGCAGGAAGACCCTTCTTGGGGGGACCATAGCACACTAGTTCTTGAGAGAAGAAATTGCCAGAAGGAAGGTAGTCTTTAGAGTGAGATGACGATCAGATATCTCCTCTATAGGCTCGAAAGGAGGTTTACAGAGAGCCTCTAACACCACAGCCAAGTCCCACGGAGGGACACGAGATCGTACCGGAGGCCTAAGCGCACGGCGCACAGAGGAAACGTGTAACTAGGGTGTGTCTGCCCACTGACTGACCACCAAGAGGGGCATGGTAGGCCGCAATGGCCACCGCGTAAACCTTCAAGGTGGAATGGGTCAACCCTGCGGAGAATCGGGCCTGCAGGAACTCCAGCACTGTACCAACCGGGCAGTTAACTGGGTCGAGCAGGCAGTCCAAAGTTTCCACTTCAAGGCGTACAGTTTCCTCGTTGAGGGGGCTCTGGATTGGAGGATGGTCTCAACAACCTCAGTTGAGAGACCGGAGATTACGAGATGTGCCCCCTCAGGGGCCACACCCACAGCTTCCACAGCTCCGGGCGGGGGTGAAAGATGGTGTAAAAAAAACACCTTTTGAATGGTGTCCCCCCCCCCAACTCTCCAAATCTGCTTCACCCCCTCGGGGTGAAGCCTCCATTCCCCGGGCCTCGGCCCCTGCCTTGACAGAATGTCTGCTCCCATATTGAGATGCCCAGGGATGTGAACTGCTCTCAGCAAGGGGAGTTTCCCCAGGGACTACACAAGGATCTGGTGCGCCAGCCTGTAAAGGAGGCACAAATACAGACCTCTCTGGTGGTTGATGTAAGAGACCACTGCTGTGTTGTCGGTGCGCACCAACACATGGCAATCTTTTAGGTCTGGGAGAAAGTGTTTCAATGCTAGAAACACGGCCAGCATCTCCAGGCAGTTGATGTGCCACGTGAGATGGTGGCCGCTCCACAGACTGCGGGCCGAGCGGCCACTCATGACCGCTCCCCAACCAATGAGGGAAGTGTCCGTCGCTAACGTTACGCGGTGGCAAGGAGCTCCCAGCACCGGGCCCTGAGACAGGAACCAAGGCTTCCTCCACATGTCTAAGGCACAAAGGCATCGCCACGTGACCTTGAGCATGCGGAGCGGATTTCCCCTTGGGGAAAACCCCTTGGTCTTGAGCCACCACTGTAGGGGTCTCATGTACAGCAGGCCAAAAGGTATCACGTTGGACGCAGCTGCCATCAGACCCAGCAGTTTTTGAAACTGCTTGACAGTGAGTGACCGGCCTTCTTTCCGTCTCGCGACTGCAGTGAGGACTGACTCGAACTGAGCAGGAAACAGACGTGCCTGCATCTTGGTCGAATCCCACACCATGCCCAGGTAAGTGGTCCTCTGTAGTGGAGAAAGCACACTTTTCTTGGCGTTTAGTCTTAACCCCAGCTCTTTCATGTGAGCGAGAACGACATCTCGATGCCGAACCACCATCTGCTCCGATTTAGCTATTATCAACCAATCGTCGATATAATTCAGTATGCGGATACCCTGAAGTCGCAGTGCAGCCAGAGCAGCATCCACACACTTTGTGAAAGTGCGGGGTGAGAGTGCAAGGCTGAACAGATACTGGTAAGCTTCGCCCCCGAAAGCAAACCTCAGGAACTTCCTGTGTTGGGGAAGGATGGAGACATGGAAGTATGCGTCTTTGAGATCGATTGTGACAAACCAGTCCTCGGACCTGATCTGAGACACAACTTGTTTGATTGTAAGCATCATAAACTTCAGTCGCATGACTGAGCGGTTCAATTGACGCAGATCTAAAATGGGATGCAACCCTCCATCCTTCTTTGGAACGATGAAGTACCGGCTGTAGAACCCGGACTCTGTCGAGAGGAGGGACCACCTCGATGGGGTCCTTCCTCAAGAGAGAGTTTACATCTTGTTCCATTACCAAAGCCTGCTCAGAGCCCACCAGAGTGGGAATGACCCCGTTGAAACAAGGCGGAGGAGAACCGAACTGGATTCGGTATCCTCTTTCTACAGTGTGCAGGATCCATTGAGACACATTTGGCAGAAGATTCCACGCTGCCAAATAGTCTACTAAAAGGAATCAGTCTCTCGAGACTGACCTCTGGTGTACTTAGAGCTGCTAGCTCGGTGCCCTGAAGTGGAGGACCGGCAGGGAACGGCCAATCTAGCTGCTCTAGAGACCTCCGAAGAGGTAGCGAGCCTCCCAGAGCCGCTACGTTTCCGGGCGGAGACTGAGAGAAGTGCTCGCCGGAGACTGCTGCGCCCTGAAGCGCTGTGGGTGGCAGGCTTGGCAGACGGATCTCCTGAGGGCACTGAGGAGAGACGGACACTGTACACCGCTCTTCCCCAGAGGGGCCTGCCCTCAGAAGTCCTTAGCCACAAGCGTCAGGACTTCTTGGCCAAGGACTTCTTAGCCTGAAGGACGGTCCGCAGATCCGGCTTTGACTTCGAAGTCCCCGACCTAGAGCGCTGCTGCTCTCGGTCCCGCTGCGGAGGAGCACGAGAGGCGATGCTCTGTTTTTGTTGTTCCCGGTATGAGGAGTCGGTACACGAGTGGGGCTGCTCCTGCCCAGCAGCCCCGCAGCTAGAGAGCAGTGAGGGGGCAACCGCTGGAACACCACCACTTGTTTACGGGCCTCCTGGAACCTGTCGACGATCGAGTTGACGGCGTCGCCGAATAGGCCAGAAGGCGCAAGCGGGGCGTCCATGAGGAAGACCCTGTCCTTCTCTTTTATCTCGGACAGGGTCAACCACAGATGCCAGAGATAAATCAGTGGTTCTGTGGAGTTCGGTGATATCCTCTGACTTAATCTCCTCACCCTCATCTAGCTCCTTCAGCAGGTCGGCACACACTGCCATAGTGTGCAAACACACACCAACCTGACCCGCTGCCATGTACCCTTTGCCCACCAAGCTAGATGTAGTACGCAGCGGCTTGGAGGGCAGTGCCAGGGCTTTCAGGGACGATGTCGAACTGGGCGACAAACAGCTCGCAAGTCTGTTCGACCCGAGGCATCGCCCTGTAACCGCTCTCATTCAGCCCCACTACGTTTGCATAGTGGGTGGACGCGGGGCTGAAGATGCGGACCAAGTAAGGCTTAGACCATGATCTCAACACCTCAGTGTGGAGATCAGGAAAAAATGGAAAGCCCCAGCATGGAGGTAGCGGCTTTCATCCAGCTTACTTTTCTGCAGTTCAGCCTGTTTCTCGGTGGGCCAATCGATGTTTAACTTAGCCACAGCACGAGTTACTACCTCCAACAGCTCCTCATACTGGGGAGACAGGAGGGGCGAGTCCCCTGCCTCATCAACAGCCTCCACATTGACCTCCTCGGAGGAAGAGAGGCGGAGTGTCGAGCCCTCGCCCTGGGGGGAAGAAACCACGGTGCGGGCTTCCGATCCCTGAGAGGGGGCGCTGGATCTGGTGGGTGAGGAAGAAGATAGGGACTGACCCATCTCCATTCCCTCCGCCTGATCCATCTGCGAACCCCACGACCGCAATCGACATGCTGCCTCGGCAGACGCGGGACCAGAGCCGCGGGGAACGCTGGCAAAGGCTCCCTCCTCAAAGAGAGCCTTCCGGGAGCGAAGCGTCCGCAGCGAGAGGCGATCGCAGTGCGGACAGTCAGCCCCCTCGAGAGCTGGCTCAGCGTGCTTCGCTCCCAAACAAACCACGCATAAACTATGTGTATCCCCATCCGTGATGTAGTGAGGACAGGGAGGAACACACAGTTTACAGTGGTGTTTGCTCTCGCCCTTATGTTTGGTTTTCTGACTCGCTTTTGGCATGATAATGAGTGCTTTGGACAGACAACAATAAGTAAGACGGACACACAGAGCGCTTGCAGAATAACAGAAAGATGACGCTGTATCCACCGCTTGCTTTTAAGCTTCCTGGTCTCTACGTCATCCTGTCCGTGACGTCTCGCTCATCTACTGGACTGATTACACACGTGATTCAGAGCGTGGTCACGCTGAAGGCATTCCCATAGTGTTTCGACGCAGCTCGAGTTCCTGAAGGGGAACCTCTTTTTGTGCTCTACAAGAAAGAAAATACCATATAAGGGGTCAAACTATCAATTAATTTCTTCATTCAATAAAAATTATTTAAGAACACGCCAAGCAAGCTGTTGCTCACTGTCGATAACAAATCAGTGTTGAGCTGTAATATAATTCTGATTTCTTTGGCACAACATCAAGTCACAAAGTATAATGGCTCAAATTGTTGCATAACTTAAAACGCAACAAAATCACTCCTGAAAGTGAAAACCTTATCAAGAAAATCTTTACGAATTATTTAAAAAACCTCAAGTAAAATGGCATTAGTAAATGTTCTGTGGCAATCACCGCTGATTAAGTTGATGAATTATCTGGATGAACAGGAAGTCATTCCTCATTTTACTTCAGGAATGTTCAAAGATGATGAGTTTCAGTGCATTATGAGGGCGAGAGAGGGTGGAAACAGTCATTCTGATTAGTTGTACTTTTTGATCGAATGAGTCGTGTCAGGCGCTATTTTTCACATTCGGTGTAGACAAATTGGAATCCTGTCTGGTTAAAGGAATATTTCAACCAAAAATGTAAATGTACTCACTCTCAGGCCATACAAGATGTAGAGGAGTTTGTTTCTTCATCAGAACAGATTTGGAGAAATGTTCTCCAAATAAGCATTACATCAATTGCTCACCAATGGATCCTCTGCAGTGAATGGGTGCCGTCAGAATGAGAGTCCAAACAGCTGATAAAAACATCACAATATTCCACAAGTAATCCACAACAAATCCACCATTAAGACATTTTAACTTTAAACCATTGCTTCCGGACAAATTACAAGACCATAATCCATTAAAATGTTTCCTCCAGTGAAAAAGTCCATCCCTTGTTGTCCTCTCACATCAAAATCTACTTACATATTTGCTTAGAACTACTTTGGACTTGTACATGGTGCTTGATCTGTGCATATTTCTCTCCTGATTCAGACGAGACGACTTTTTCACTGAAGAAAGCATTAAAGAGGACTAATATTTCGGGAAGAAGAAATAGTTTGAAGTTAAAAATGTCTTAATGATGGATTTGTTTTGTGTGGGTTACTTGTGGATTATTATGATGTTTTTATCAGCTGTTTAGACTCTCATTCTGATGGCACCCATTCACTGCAGAGCAAGTGATGTAATGCTACATTTCTCCAAATCTGATGAAGAAACAAACTCATCTACATCTTGGATGGCCTGAGGGTGTGTACATTTTCAGCCAATTAAATTAGCATTCACCAGAAAAACAATGAGCATGTGTTTCTGAGAATCACTAACAAACAATTGACACATCAGAAAATTAGGGATAACGCTAATGATGCTGAAAGAATCTTCTTGTTTGCATCCTGTGTGTAAATAATGTCTTCCCTATTGTCGCCTTCATTAAATCCAGGTCATCTCTGTCAGTGATTTATTTCTTAATAGGCTGGCTTAAAAGTAAAAGCAGAATGGTATAAACCAGAAAAGGTCACAGAAATCATATTTTCACTGAAGGATCCTGGCGCTGAGCATCCGTTCTCTCCCTCTGGATGTTTCTGACACAAGAGTTTCATTCAGACCATGAATATGAGCGCTAACTCCAAAACAGCGATGCTGGGATTGTGGTCAGGACAAACCAGGACAGGATCTGACCCTGAATCTGCTCACTTCCTGTGGGGCTGCCCAGGTGGAGCATGTTTATGTTACAGAATGAAGGGATGTAGTCAATGCTCGGGGGCCTATGAATCCCTTCACTCACGCACAGTAACCGCACATGTGTATGTGTGTGTTTTTTATAGTGCACACAGTAAAATCACTTCCAGACATTTTGTCCTGCTTTTTTCATTCCTGCCTTCTATTAGCGGAGGCGGCTTGCAGACTGTGACCTCCTTTCAGTCTTGTACTCTTACTAGTGGCCAGTGAGCAACAGTGTGGTTGACTGTAGAAACAGCGGCCAAAATTAAGTGTGCGATGTGTCTTTCTTTGTCGAACTACTACACGACTCTCTGTACACTCATTCATCAGTCTTCCTTTTTGACAACATGCTTCTACAATCAAAAAGTTGCTCATTTAATCAAATACTCTTTTGCAATGTTTTACTGTAAATCAGTGCAGAAAATGAACCGGTGCAATATGATCTCACTCTCATCTTTAATCAGTCGATAAATCTTTTAAACTGTTCTAAGCTCTGCACTTCTGGAGGGTTATTAACCTTAATCTTCATTGAATTCAATAAGTGTGTCATTTTTATGCGAAAATCTCTCATATCTTACATCAGTCTTCTCATATTCCAGTTTCATTTCAGAGACAACTGCAATCAATACAATATTTGTATGATGACCCTGTGATTCAAAAGTTTGGGATAAATACAATTGTTTTACGAAATACGAAAGTAATTAATACTTCTGTTCCACAAGGGCACATTAAAATGATCAAAAATTACAAAATGCTTCGTTAAATACAACCCAGTGATGGGTACAACTTGGACAAACCCAGCAATTGGGTTGTTTTGACCCTTCTGGGTAGTAACCCAACCGCTGGGTCAAAACAACCCAATTGCTGGGTTTGTCCATATTTCACCCAACACTGGTTTGTATTTAACCCAGCATTTTTTAGAGTGTAAAGACATAGAAATGTTTTGTAACATAATACATTGAAAATAAAACTTTAAAATAAATTAGTGTTTCCACAACAATATGAAGCATTCAAGACTGATAATAATCAGAAATGTTTATTGAGCATCAAATCAGCATATTAGACTGATTTCGGAAGGATCATGTGACACTGAAGTAATGATGCTGAAAATTCAGCTTTGCATCACGGGAATAAATTACATTTTACAAATAAATGCAGATTTGGTGAACATAAGAAAAAAACCTTACTGACCCCAAACTTTTGAACAGTAGTATGAAAATACACACCTGACATTTTCCGCTCACGCACAGGTCGCTCTCGTAAGGTCCACATGGCGTTCCGTCCAGCACACGCTCTGCCACTAGTACCGGTGCATCACTGCCGATGGGTGAACAATACAGAGCGCATGGCTTTTCTGGGAAATAAAAGCACACACATACATAAATGCTTCATTTAGCATGTACATGCATAATTTTTAATGTGGCGTTGGTTCACAAATTTCCTCCATAAATTAGTTTTATTGGATCCACTCTCTATAGATTGAACTTTGAGGCTGAAAGAGGCACAAGTATCTGTACTTCCAGCTAGAACACATGAAGTGCACTCACGGTATTGCGTCTACTTAAGAAGATCACAAGCTTGTTTCTGAGTGACATGTTGTGATTTAAGAGCAGCTTCGTGCTCCTTTAGTCTGCAGATGATGAAAGTTCCCTGATAGAGTGAATGTCTGTAAGTGACTCTCGAGCGATCAGAGTTTGGAGAGCCTGTGTTTCTGCCTTTGTGAGGTAAAATACAGAGAGCGCTTTTGAGTGCTGCGGTTTCATCGCTTCCGTCAGAGTTGAGGCCGTTCAGCTGCACAGGAGGATGTTTGTCTGGCAGTTTTTTTGGTTATATGTTTTTCATCTAATTGCAGAACATAAGTGGATTTCATAGCAAATATATATATATATATATATTATGCAAGTGTTTCAATATGACAATCAATATGTAGATAAATAAGTAGACAGAGAGAAAGACATACATCTATATCCCAATTATCGCCTGACTGATCAAAGTTTGCTTCAACTCAAAACACTGTAAACTCACCATCCTACAGTGCTATGCACCAACAAATGAAGCTGAGGATGAGGAAAAAAGACACCTGGTATGAAGAACTACAAACAGCGGTCTCCCAAGTCCCTCAACATGACATGTTTCTGATCATGGGAGACATAAATGTGAAGGTTTGGGCAAACAATACCAACTATGAGAGAGCTATGGGGAAACATGGCTGCGGGGTGATGAATGATAATGGCAGGCAATTTGCAGAATTTTGCTTGGATAAAGGTTGCGTGATAGGAGGCACCATCTTTCCACACAAGAACATCCACAAACTCACATGGAGCTCACCTGATGGTCAAACTATCAACCAAATTGACCACATTGCTATTAATGGCAAATGGCGCAAGTCATTACAAGATGTTACATAAGTTTGTCGTGTGTACAACGCAATGTAAAGCAAAAGAGTCAGCAAAGATGACACCTAGACATTGCCAAACTAAAGTGTCCCAAGACTAACAAACAGTTTGTAGTAGAACTGAGAAACCGCTTTGCTGCCTTAGCTGATTCTACAAATGACCCTGATATTAACACCATTTGGGGAACAATAAAGAACACCTATATAGAAACAGCCACAACTATATTAGGCTACAGAAAAAAGAAAAACAAGGAATGGTTAACATCTGGAACATGGGAGAAAATAGAAGAAAGAAAACATCTGAAAGCCAAAATGCTAAGCACCAAATCACCAAGATTGCAACAACAGGCAAAGCAGGCTTATAAAGCCGAAGGCCGAGAGGTAAAGAAAAGTGCCAAAAGGGACAAAAGATCCTTTGTTGAAGGACTAGCGAAGGAGGCAGAAACTGCTGCTGCTAGAGGGGACCTCAGCCCTGTGTTTATGATCACCAAGCAGTTATGTGGCAAAAAGACTAGTCAGTCAGTCCCTGTCAAGGATAAGGATGGAAACAATCTTAAAACAGAACATGAGCAAGCTGCTCGTTGGGAACAACATTTCTATGAAGCACTCAATAGACCAGAACCTGATGATCCTGCAAATCCACCACCAGCAGAAGTTGTCCTGGACATTGACATCAGTCCACCAACGGAAGATAAAGTAAGGCATGCCATCAAAGCCTCAAAAAGTAGGAAAGCCTGTGGAATTGACAACATCCATGCAGAAATGCTTAAGGCCGACCTGAGAACTTCAACAAAAGTTTTAACAAACCTCTTCCACAACATGTGGGACAAAGGCACTATCCCTGTGGTTCAAAGGATTAATTGTGTGACAATCTGTGATCAACTGGCGAGGCATCATACTGTTGTCTATACCATCAAAGGTCTTCTGTCAAGTTCTCCTGCACAGAATTGACTCCACTATTGACATCACGCTAAGGCAGGAGCAAGCAGGATTCAGGAAAGGGAGAGGATGCATAGATCAGATATTTGCTTTAAGAAACATTATTGAGCAATGTCTTGAATGGAACACCCCCTTTATATTAACGTCATCGACTTTAAAAAGGCATTCGACGGTTTACATCGTGACACCCTATGGAAGATCCTAAGGTCCTACGGAGTTCCTCCAAAGATGGTGACCTTGATAGGATTGTTCTATCGACCTTTGAATGCTGTGTTATACTTGATGGGAAACCCTCTGAGTGGTTCCCAGTGGAGTCTGGTGTAAGACAGGGTTGTATCTTATCCCCCATCCTATTTCTTGTTGCCGTTGACTGGATCATGCGCAGAACCAAAGCAGACAAGCCTAGAGGGATCCAGTGGACTCTGTTCTCCCAATTAGAAGATCTAGACTTTGCAGACGACCTTGCTATATTATCCTCCAAGCAAGACCACCTGCAGGAGAAAACAACTAGGCTGCATAACATTGCTAAACAGACAGGTCTTAACATCCTTTCTTTTTCTCTTTTTAAGAAGCGAGAGGACAACAAAATCATCCTTACTGCTTGAAGACTCCATTTAGTACTGTTTTTCACAACAGATTAATTAATACACATCGGACTTACTGTGCAAGGTTTCTGTGCTTCATGAATTTTTAGGATGACGAATACGAAAAAATGCATACGAAAATTTCGGACTCAGTGTACAAGGACCTTTAATCATTCATACATGTGAAAATCACATAGCTGTATTCTGGCACAGAGGAAGACAGCAATCGTGTCTTTGTGGCAGTTTTTCTGCTGATTAAGTTAAAATACAAGACTTCTTCATTTTTCAAATGGTTGTCAAAAGCAAAAAAGCTTCAAAATGCATCATATTTTGTGTGAAAGTGTAACATGCTCAAGCAAAACAGGCACTATTTCTGAAATCATCACAACAAAATTAGTATGAAACAAATCCTGGCTTTCATTCAGCAAACAGAGGTGTATTTTTTAGTCTCACCATCGTCGATCACAGCTGTCCACATCTGGCTTTTCTTCTTACTGGCCTGCCGGTCATGAGACTGACACTGCTGATCTCTAAACGTGGGCAGACCCTTCGTACACGGCGGCCCTTCACACACTTTGTGCTCCACGCTGGTCTTCTGGCAGTACTTTCCTCCTGGACCAGGCCTAGAGAACCACAACCACAACCACAAGAAATACAGTTAAACATACTGCTCTATGACCTAAACCTGAAGACAAAGCATGAAGATCATTATCCCAGCTGTAGGCCGAGGATTGAGGAGAGGAGACATGAGGACAGGCAGTCGCTCCGTGACAGAGGTCAAGCTAAATATGACTGAGGAAAGGTTTTGAGGCCATAAACCTTCATTAGAACATGTTTTGCTTCCTCAAATGATGACAGCTGACAACGTGACAGTCTAAAACCTGTTCAGTAACAAGTTTCCTCCCATTCTCCCAGTCTCCATCATGTTCCATCTCTCAGTCTATCTCATCTGCTGTGAGAGTCTCTCAAAACTGTCGTATTTCCGAACCTGCATGTAATTTTAATGAATTATGGAGTTTGCCAGGAAGAACTGTAGTGATATCTCTCAAACATTTTAATTAGGGTTCATTTGATCTTATTTTATTTCAGCCCCCAAACACTCATTGAACAGACCAATTATACTACCATTCAGAGGTTTGAGGTTGTCAAGTATCTTATTCTCACTAAGGCTGCACTTATTTGATCAAAAATACAGTAAAAAACAATATTATTAAAAAGATGACTTTAAAAAATACTATAAAAAATTAAAATAACTGTTTTCTATTTGAAAACATTGTAAAATGTAATTTATTCCTGTGATCAAAGCTGAATTTTCAGCATCATTACTCCAGTCTTCAGTGTCACATGATCCTTCAGAAATCATTCTAATTTGATGATTTGCTGCTCAAGAAATATTTCTTTTTACTAATGCTGAAAACAGTTGTACTGCAACTATTGATGACTAGAACATTAAAAATAACTGCATTTCTGTCATGACAACTCTCGGAGTTATTGGCATGATAATGTACATGACAATGTTAACGTATTTGGTCTTGGCAGAATAGATCTACTACGCTGCTGCTGCGGCAGAGCAAGTACCGAGACTTGCTACTGCCAATACATCCACAACATGCTGATGTGAGCATGTAAGAAATATTGCTGCTGCAAATATAACATACATGAAATAACCCCCCTTATAGCGTACATGAATCCCCTCGTAGCAGATCTATACAGGTGGAGCTGGGGAGGGTGGAGGGTTTCTGAAGCAAGCTGCAACTGCTACTGCAAGCACTAATCATATATTTGAATGTTGAGAAGCGAGCTCATTGGCTATCGACACAGAAGAGAACCAATCAGCTGTGCCATGTGATAATGGTGTCATTAGGTCAGATTGAGTTAGACCTATCAGACTGCCCCATCTAGAGTTTCATGCCACAACTCTGTATTTCTGTCATGACAACTCTCGGAGGGATTGGCATGGTAATGTACATGACAATGTTAATGTATTTGGTCTTGGCGGAATACATCTGCTACGCTGCTGCTGCAGAGCAAGTACCGAGACTTGCTACTGCCAATACATCCGCAACATGCTGCTGAGCATTTAAGAAATATTGCTGATGCAAATATAACATACATGAAATAACCCCCCACAAAGCAGGAGACATAGACGGGACAATACAAACCAAAGCAAGAACAAAACACCCCCCAACAAGCAGATCTATTGTGGATTTACATTTCTGCCGAAATTCTGCGCGCGAAAGATCATATTTTGAGCGCGCAAAAGTGCGTTTTGTACGCGCGCGAACTGAGTTTTGTGGAGAAAATGTTTGTCTCGCAAAGAAGAAAGTATTTCGAGCGCACGAAAATCAATTTTGCATTTAAAATTAGTTTTTTGAGAAGAGGAAAAATACAGTGCATGCATAATTATTATGCAAGTTGGTATTCTGATCACATTTTTTTCCAAGCACATTTTACCAATTTCAAACGACATCAATCTTAATAACTACTATTAATCTTGTATTTCATAATTTATAATTGATATATAATTATTCATGAAGGCTGAAGGCTGAAGTGAAAAATTTCTTATATTCAGGTGTGCATAATTAAGCAGATTTTCTTTTACAGATAAAATTAGCCAAAAAAGAGATTTAACTCAGACTGAAAGTAAAAAATTATTAATTGTCCATGAGAAATATTCAAAACTAATACAATACTAGAAATTGCAAAGTTAATGCATAACCATTGGACAGCAAAATGCTCAGTGGGTCAGCAGGGTCAGTCAAAAACATGTGGAGAAGAAAAGATGCATGTTAACTGCAAAAGAATTAGGAATTAAGATGAAGAATTAGGTGTGAAATCACCAGGAACCATTTAGACTCCAGCGCCACCATTTTCCAGAACTGCAACCTACCTGGAGTCTCCAGAAGTACAAGGTGTCAGGTTCTCAGAGACTTAGGAGAAGTATAGAATCCTAAAAAATGACACCTACTTAATAAGAATCACATACTGAAGTGTAGTAAAATACTTGAAGACTGATGTATATATATAGGCTTTATAGACAGATAAGTTGAGAGTGACTCTTGAAGGACCAGCACCACATCTTCTTGTACCACTGTTTGAAGAATTTATTTTCCAGAATCTGGCAGTAAGTTTTGGGAGTTCATTTTTAGTCCATCTCGAGATTTTATCTGTAGAAGATAACCTGCTTAATAATTATGCACATCTGAATATAAGGCGTTTTTCACTTCCAGCCTTCATGAACAATTATATATAGATAATAAGTGATTAAATACAAAATTAATAGTAGTTATAATTATTGGTAAAATGAGCTTGGAAAAATTATGATCAGAATATCAACTTGCATAATTATGCATGCACTGTATTTTTCCTCTTCTGCTGTCGAGGTAATGCAAGAAATGTTGTGATTGGTTGTCAAGGCAGCCAATCAGAATTTAGCAGCCTAGTCTCTGATTGGCTGGAATTATGGCACATTGTAAGGCTGGGTTGTGTTGAGCATGCGAGCTGTTGGCATTTAGCGAGCACTGAGGGCGGGCATCAGGTGAGCAAGCTAGTGAAACATTGCACGCGCAAAAGAGAAGGTCTGCACACATCCAAAAACGTATTTTAAATGCAAAATTGATTTTCGTGCGCTCAAAATACTTTCTTCTTTGCGAGACAAACATTTTCTCCACAAAACTCAGTGCGCGCGCGTGCAAAACGCACTTTTGCGACACTCAAAATATAATCTTTCGCGCACCGAATTTCGGCAGAAATGTAATTCAATAATCTATCGCCAAGACATATGTACTGCTGCTGTTCCGAAGAGCCATGTGAACCGCATGCATTACTATCTATGTGTGCCTGGGCTACCACTAGGGTTGGTTGCCTGAGCGATCGACTTAAATATTTGTCCTCTGGTTCTCCTAAATGGATGTAAGAAGCATCATCACCGGAACCGCACTAGAAAAATTATTTCCCAACTGAGAAAATGCATGTGAACTCAAGTCGGAAAGCTCTAATAATACAAATCTTTGTAGTAACAGGAGTGTCCATGTTGTTTTCACATTCCGACTTAAAAGGACAACTCGGGTAATGAGATCATCCGAGGAACGCGTGAATGCAGCAACTACACTTGCTCTGATGGCAGCACGTAGCCTTCCGTTAACTAAGCTAAACATGCTTAAATTAAAATGCCTAAAGCTAAACTTCCCTTGTATTCACATTTCTAAACTTGCTGTCCAACAAAAGAGAACATTATAACCTTTTTACTCCACAACACCAGTCAAATGCTTCCTTTGTGATCTGATGTGGCTTCTTGTCACAGAATGAGGCAAAAAATATGTTCCATAGGCTACCTTGAAAAGAATACATCGATTAGCAATGGATTATAAATATACTTAATTATTATGAAAATACCAGAGATGGCTTGAATAACACAGATAACCTATATTGTCGTAGTCGAGTGTTTATTGTCTTTGTTTTATCATTCAAAATGTTTATATGTTCTGTTTATTCAGTTAAAGCTATAATAGCGATTCCTTTGTCCATATTAGGGATTTCCTTGAGGGTCATGAGTTCCGCTACTTCTGTGTCTGGATATGTGGATTTTCTGTGCGAGGGCGCCCTCTGGCGTCCAGTATGAATGAAACAGACATCAAGCGTTTATAGTGCTAATGGCCAATCCCTATTTTTGGGGGGAATTTTTATTTATTTGTTTATTTTTATAAGTATTGGTTCAAGCACATTAAAAGTATCGATTTGGCGCTGGTATAAAAAAAAATAAAAAAATCGATACCCAACCCTAGCTACCACACCGACCGGCTCAACGCTAGTGGCCTATGACTATGTGAGCCTTGGCTACCACGCCGACCGACTTAACACTAGTGGCCTATGACTATGTGAGCCTTGGCTACCACGCTGACCGGCTTAACACTAGTGGCCTATGACTATGTGAGCCTTGGCTACCACGCTGACCGGCTTAACACTAGTGGCCTATGACTATGTG